CCAGTCTCTTTAGCCTCTCTTCATATGGGACCTGTTCCAAACCGCCCATCATTGTAGTTGCCCTCCCCTCTCCCACCCTCTCTCTTCCCCTCTCCCACCTCCTTTTCCCAGTCCCCCCCAGTTTTGTTCAATAAAGAGAGATTCTATTTTTGAACACAATTGTCCTTTATTTTGTACATCAGGAAGGGGGGCTAGGGAGGGGTAAGTGGAAGGAGGTGAGGGAGGAATGGGGTACGAGTCCCCGATGGGGAGGACTGGGCTGGCTCTGCGGGCTTCTGGGGGTGGAACCTCTCCTGCAGCCCACCAATTGCCCCCTCTCCCCAGATGGCAGCCTGCGGCAAGTGCAGCCGGGCTGATGGCCGAGTGCTATGATGTGCCCAGTGTGGGTACTCCGGCCAATCCGAGCCAGGACTGCTTTGCAAGCGGGGCACCCCTGAGAACTGTCTGTCCGGGGTGGGGGTCGGGTCCCTTTAAGCCCAGCCCTCGGCTAGCCTGACACAGCAGCTCCACGCTCTAAGTCCTCATCTGATGCCCTGCTGGCACTGCTTCTGGCCATCCTTAACCCCGGTTCAGGGTCCACTCTGTGTGGACGTGCTAGTTCGAATTAACAAAACGCTAATTCGAACTAGTTTTTTAGTCTGGATGCGTTAGTTCGAATTAGCGCTGTAGTGTAGACATACCTTTATATATTTTGAAGAGTTTGTTTGTGGATTGGCTTGTGCAAAATAAAGTCATATTTCCCAATTAGCTACAGATACCAAATTTTGCATAAACAATCCTGCCACTTAAATTAGCAGAATGAACTACTTTTTATACCAGAATATGCTTGATGAAAGGTTTAAATAATTATTTTTAAAACCTTCAGAGGGGTAGTCGAGTTAGTCTATAATTAGAAAAACTTAAAAAACAACTAATAGTCTAATAGCACCTTAAAGACTAATAAAACATGTAGATGGTATCATAAGATTTTGTGGGCATAACCTACTTCTTCAGATGACCGGAGTATTAAAAGTCCAGATCCAAGGACTTTTAATATTCTAGTCATCTGAAGAAGTGGATTATGCCCATGAAAGCTCATGATACCATAATTATTTATTTTTTTCATTGGGAAGAAAGTCATGACTATTATGATTAAAGTTCATAACCAATATTTCCTAACAAAATTAAATTCCAGTCACCTATTCAACTGTCTTTTTAGTGCAAAGAAAATTTTTACTGTTACAAATCACAAAATAATTCAAATTAGTTATGGAAATAGTAATGGAAGCTTTATGAGTTTCTGATTCAAATGTGCAATGTATGGTAATTATTCAATAAACATACCTGCTTGGGCCTGGCAGTGAAAATGAGCACATGAGAAAGGGTGGGATAAAATAAGCAATGGAAGGAATGGAGAGAGAGTGGAGGGTGGGGCTTCTGGAAGGGGTGGGGCCTCTGGAAAGTGAATGGGCAGTGGAATTAAAAAGTTGACAACCTTAGTCATGAGAAAAGTCCTATGGCTATATTTCTTGTAAGCAAGATGCAAGCTCTTTTTTAGGGCTTGTTGCTACTTAAAATACTATAGTAGCACAGCTACTCCACTGTATCATTTATTGGGGACACTGCCTATACCAACGAGAAGAGTTCTCCCATAAGTGAAGGTAATCCACCTCTGCAAGAGGTAATAGCTAGGTCACCAGAAGAATTCTTCTGTCAGACTTGCTTTGTCAGACTATACATGGGGACTTAATGGGATTTTTCACATCACTAATCAATGTATTTAAACTAATCTAATTGTGTAGAATGGACCATGCCTATGTCTGAAACATCTGTTTTAATTTCAGTTCTTAATGAGGGTGCTTCCCAATGTCAGATTTTGTCATCAGATGTTTGTATCCTGGTCTTACAGTTAATGGGAGTCTTAGTAATGCTATGGGTGATGGAGCTGAGGTTTTGATTTTTAATTAAAATTAAATAACTTAAATAATCAGATCTCTCCTCCTCCCCTTCAAAATCCTTCTCTTTCATCAATATTTGTGTACTGAAGTGTATTAATAACCCCAGAAAACATCTGATGTGTACTAAAAAAAATAAGTCCATAATATTTCAATATTCCTTTGTGTGACAGATTTTTTTAGATCAACCAGCCCCACTAGGAATAGTCTTTTTGCCAGCTGCTAATGAATGCAAACTATTTAAACAATTATCTTTCATTTGAGAGATTTTTGAAGAATTAAGAGCTAGCACAATATATTTTTTTTCATCCCACAGTATTCAGCAAATGCCATTCAGATAACTCCTAGATTTTTGTTTATATAATTTGCACCAATGAGACACATCTGCAGTGGAGTCGCACAGAAAATCTTAGAAATTATCTTTCATTGTAGCCATCAACACCATATTGTTTTAGCTGGTTTAGCTCTGCCTAAGTACAGTTTTCCTCTTGCTGATGGCTCCTTTTCCCCTCCTCGTTCTCTCCAAGCAACATTCCGTTGTATTAGGTTGTATCCACACTTATTGTATGCAAGCATTTCTAGTTCCTTCCTGTCTAGAGCTGGACATTTTTTTCATCTAATAATAAACTCACAAAATAATGCATTTTAAGGGAATCAAAAGTCTTTGTGAATTTTGCTTAAATTCTGCAAGTAGTTTCAGCCAAAAAAAGTGATGTGACCTATTTCCACCATTTCAAAATAAAAGTTGTAACCTTTCGTTTCAAAGCAGCATTTAATTTTTAGATTTATCTAATTGATAAAAACAAAAACAAAACAAAAACAAAAAACAGAAAAGGGAACCTGCCTCCCACCCCCCATAATGACCCAAAACTAAACCCAAAACAACAAAATTCATTTCTGGTACAGAAAAGCTGTAACAATTCAGTTTCCATTCAAACAGATCTAGTTTATGTTTTGACTTTCATTTTGGCTCCCAAACCAAAAACTTCAATAACTCCTTCATCTCTATCCTTTTCCTGGTTCTATTTCCACCTGTCTAATCACACTCTCTAACATCATCATTTGGTCCAGGAGGACTCAAGAGTTCAATACTGGGTCCTTTGTTATTTTTAAGTCTAACTGCATCATCATTTTATCTTTAGTTTCCGATCTGGTCTACACTAATGAGATAAGACACTTTCAGATACATTAGTTAAGTCGCATAAGTTACATAACTGAAGTTACAGTAGCTTAGATTGTTTTACAGCATTCCCATCAGAATAGTTTCTGCAGCTAGGGAAGGTGAAGTGCTAAAGTTGATGGGAGAGTGCCCTGCCGTCAAGATACCTTATCTTCACTAAACCCACTAAATCAATGCCTTCTGCATTGAGTGCCAATTTAGGCAATAGTGAAGAGAAATCTCCACTTTTCCACTGATATTACTGTATATATATTTTTATTGCCCTTCTATTTGCCTAATATTTACTTCCTCTTTTTTCCCTTCTGCTAGCAGAGTCCTCATGGAGTTTCTACAGAACCCAACTGTTAATACCTCATTTGCTCTTGCCCGAATCTTTGGTCATCATTTGCACCAGTTCAAAGTTGATGTAAAATGCTACCATTGTACACTGGTAGTCTGTATCTAGACTACATCCCTCTTTCAACAGAGGGATGTAAATTAGACATGTCAAAATTGCAAACGAAGTGAGGATTTAAATATCCCGTGCTTCATTTACATAATCGTGTAATGGTGCTCTTTCGAAAAAGCGCCATTTGGAAAGCAAGCAATCTAGACACAGTTCTTTCAAAAATGGCAGGCTTTTTCAAAAGATCCTGTACTCAAAAAATTAGGTTTACAGCATCTTTCGAAAAAGCCTGTCATTTTCGAAAGAACCACATCTAGACTGCGGTTTTACTTTCAAAATCACACTTTTTTGAAAGAGCGCCATTACGTGATTATGCAAATGAAGCATGGGATATTTAAATCCCTGCTTCATTTTCAATTTTGAAGTGTCTAATTTATTTCCCTCTGTCGAAAGAGGGATGTAGTCTAGACATAGATGTAGTGTTTTACAATCAACTTGCACTGATGTGAACAACTATGCTGGAAGTAGAACAATAGTGGATTGTACCCTGAGAAAAGTGAACTTAAAATATTTTTTCTAATGGGTCATACATTTTTTTTTCTGTTTAACATTTTAATAACTTCTTTAATTACTGAATTTTTTTAATCATTTGACTGGACTGTTGTAGTTAATCATGGTTATTACGTTTCAGAATGTAAAGTGAACTTTCTGTAAGTACAGTGTATAGGGGTGTGGAAGACAAAGAGGGAACTTTGATTGAAATAACCTGCATATTTTCTCTTTAAATCTCTGCCATGATGTAGAGGAGTTATTAATTTCATACCTCCTGGCTCTGACACAGGTTACAGGATTGTTCCATGATCCAAGTATTGGCAATGCAATCCACATTGTGCTCGTCCGTCTTATTCTTCTTGAAGAGGAAGAGGTGAGATACTGTTTTCCCCCAAAATTACAATGAAGGGTTGGGAACGCAGGGCATTGCAGCAGGTATTTAGATCCACATTGATTGAGAGCAATGAATGCACCCACTTTGTGTAGACAAAGGGTTGCTTGTTTAAAATGTTTTGTTCATTCCACTCCTCTGTTAATCTCTTGACTCTGGCACAGCCAGTTTATGGTTAACTGCTGTTCGAGATGGCACATCATTTAACTCATCACTGCAGGTGTTTGCACATCAACTCCCAAAATAAAATTGAGTTAAAAAGTTCAAATATTAGGATAATTGTGCATGAGGAGGAAACTTTTCAGCACCGGGAGAGGACTTCCAAAGATTGAGGTGGCTTGCTATGGAACAGAAATTCAAATGAACAGGATACTCAAATGAATCATCCACAATCTAATGACATAACACATTCTTAAAGTACAGTGCAGCTGCCTGTGGAGTGCTCTGAAGAAGCAGATCTACTATCATACACCTGCAGGACAGATTATTTTCTCTACAAGCTCCTTTTACAAAACTCAAAGAAACAGTGACCTATAAAATGTTCATTGTTGTGAACTAACCACACACAGTTTATTGCATGTTCCATGTCTCAGAAATGCTGTAACTACCCCCTAAATGAATGCTGATTATTATAATTTTAATGGATGATTTCAAATCATCATAATTACGCAAAGCTTTCAGTGGGTCTAGCCTTAAAATAAGGTCTCCGTTCAGAAGGCTTTATCATCCATCAACCTAATCCTAAACCAGGTGGAAGCCTGTGCTATTGAAATCAGTTGGTGTCTATGTAAGAGTTGAAACCTGCACAAGTGAAAATAATTTGGAGGATAGGAGCCTAATTTTATTCAGCTAACCCTATGGATAAGGATATCAAGGTTACATTTTCAAAAGCACCTAAGTTTCATTTTCAATATGGACATAAACACTTCAGAGTTTTAATCTTCATTCACTTTCAATGTGACTTAGGCTCCTGTGTGCCTAATGCACCTTTGAAAATGGGACTTAGGTGCTTATGGCACACCAATGCTTTGGAAAATGTTTATCTATGTAGTAATATACTGAGAGTGAGACAGAGTAGGTGGCAAACCCAACAAAGAAGGAAACAGGTTGTTGATAGAGCATATTTGCAAAACATATTTTTCTTCTTTAACTTGTGTTTGTTCTATCTGATCATAAGACTACTGTTGAGTATCTTTTTCAGCTTAAAAAACGGCATGCAGGAGCATAAAATGAGATTGTTCGTATTGCATTAACGGTACTAAGCATGATAGAAAATGGCTTTCTTCAAGTTACTTGCTAATTAATCTTAATCTTCTTGGTGTCAGGAGGAATATTAGTTTCCAAGAGGGAAACAAAATATTATTGCTTGAAAAAATGCAATTATTGATTTTGTTTACTTTCAAAAAACACTATTTCCCTTCTTTGATATACTTCTTTTTTTCTCTCTCTAGATACACTAGCTGCAAAAATGACAAAGTTTTAATTTAAGATTTGAGGCATTAGACAAATAGCTGCCATTGTGCCTAATGATGTTTCTAGCTTTGGGCAAAAGCGTAACCAGTCACATTTCAGTGATAGTAGTAAGCATGATAATTAACGTTTCTGCTCTGCTCTGGCAATATAAAGCAGTCTTTATAATAATATTTTCTTCTTTTTTTTTCTTTAGCAAGGCTTGAAAATCGTTCATCATGCGGATAAAACTTTAGCTAGCTTCTGTAAGTGGCAGAAAAGCATTAATCCCCAAAACGATAACAACCCTATACATCATGATGTAGCTGTACTTCTAACAAGGTATGGTCACAGTCCTGGAGAAAAACTGTCAACTATTGTTTTATTCATATTTCTTTCACCGAGGACATGTTTACAGGATAATAGACTCCTTTTGCCCCCCCTCAAAACACACACTTCCATGTAAACTGTTGTGCCCATCTTAGTACAAAAATAAGTTTGCTTGATGAGTGCATCAGATGCTAGTAGTACAGGCGGAGTTTATGAGCTGTTATATAAAAGCGCAGTGTCATGGTTGGAAGGTGCCAAAGCTAATCCACTGTATCTTTATATTGGATTGCTTACATCTGTTTGGAAATGTATTCATGTCTCTGGGTGTTCTATTAAACGTGCGTCCTCGCCAGGAGATTCAGATCTGTAAGCGGATATGTGGCCTCCTGTCGGACCCCTCCCCCATGCATCTCTCATGCATGCACTGGAGCCTCGCACTTCATCCTCCTCCTCCTCCTCCTCCTCCCTCCTAGCACTTTTGCAGCACCACAAATTACCTGATTCGTGCTCCATCCCCATTCCCCCCTTCCCTCCATTCCAGAGCTTGAACAGGCTGGAACAGCTGATTCATGGCATTCCAATTCTGGGAAGGAGGGGGAGGAGCTGGGATCAAGTGTGAATCAGGTGATTTGTGGTGCTCTGAAAGTGTTGGGAAGGAGGAGAAGGAGTAGGAAGTGCGGGGCTCCAGTGCACGAGAGATGCATGAGAAAGGGGCAAACCAGAGATCAGCAAGCTGCAGTGTGTCCATTACCAGTCTGACAGATTTAGTCTCTCTTTCTCTCTCCCTCCCTCCCTCTCTCCTTCTGCATTGCTGATATCCTTTGGAAGATCATGCTTAGCCCAAGATCTGGGCCCCATTGTGCTAGACACATCAGAAATAGTAAAAAACAGTCTCTGCCCTAAGATTTCACAGTTTAAAGAAACAAGACAAACAAAGGGTTGGAGTAGGGGAAAAGGTATTCCCCTCCACTCTGCCTTCACTGATGGGAAACAGGGCCACTGAGAGATAAAATGAGTTGCCCAAGATTCTACAAGAAGTCTGCATTGAACAAGGAACCAACTCCAGCCTTCTTGAGGCCCATTCTAGTGCCTTATAAACAAAACTGTCCAACCTTTTAAAGCACATAGACTCTAATCTTGTAAACTTGGCAGAACTGCTCCCTTCTCTAAAGGTAAAAGTGTTTAGGTGTGTTTGAGGGATGGGGGCCTTAGTTTCTCAGTTGTACAAAAGTAAGCATCCTTTGTTTGTTGAAAAACAATTTTATGGCCAGCCTTCCTTGAATATAAACAAACTTGAATGAAACACTTTTGATGCTGCAGATTACTGTTTGTTATAAAGTTTCAGGATGCTCTTGTCTGGGACTTTTATAACAATGATGTAAGTTTTGGTAATTGAAGTTTCTTGACTACTACTGTAATTATTAGCAATCTGATGCTGTTAGCAGGTCTATATATATTACGTGTGTGTGCGTGTGTGTGCGTGTGTGCGCGCTACTAGCACATCACTTGCTTCATTTACTTAATATATTTTATTTGATTTGGCCCCTAAGCACCACATCATAAGGCCAATGCAAAACTTCCAAAGGAAAATTAAAGTTCTAGTCAGCCTACATTGTTCATCAACTGAAATAAAAGTATTTGACGTAAAAGCAAAACCACTCATGCTTAGCTTAATCAGTCCAGACAAAAGAGGTATGTCTACACAGCAAAACAACAAAAACAAAACAAAAAAACAGTCTTACAGCAATGAGTCTCAGAGCCTGGCTCAACTGCCTGAGGCTCACATGACTCCCTGTTGCTGTGCTAAAAATAGTTGACATTCAAACTCATGCTGGAACCTGGGCTGTTAATCCCAGTGAGAGGGGAAGGAGGATTTCACACTCCAGCCTGAGCTTGACCATCTAGACTGCTATTTTTAGACCTGCAGCACAAGCCATGGTTAGTTGACCCGGGCCCTGTGACTTGCTGTCAATAGGGTTTTTAATTTGGTTGGGGGTTTTTGTTTGCTGTGTAGCCATATCCAAAGTAACCATTCCTAACAGATGCATAGAGTAAGGATCAGTACATATAAAAAAGTAGAACAACAGAGAGGGTCTCCAGCTGATTAATCTGCCATGTAGTCTTCACCTGCTAGTCACGAGGAGCTCTAGCTAACCTTTTAGAATGGTACAGATGATCACAAGGATATGGAAAATGAGCAGGGAAGGAAAATTTACCTTCACTGTTTTGAATCTCAGATGTGCACATTCTAACCTTATCCTGAGCATCAAATGGAAGATTCTGCTCCACAATAGCTCAACTTTTTGAGCCAACAGTAGGGATTACAATGCCACTTGCATGGAAAAAAAAGTGTAATTTCCAATTAATCAAGCCTTTACATTCAAGTCCCTTTATAATTTAACTTCCTGCCACCAAGCTGAGAAAGCAACTTAAAATGATGCCAATTTACACTCAGTCTGCTCCCTGCCTGCATTTGCAGCCTTGGCTACCACCAGTCAGCTTCTAAAACACCACCATGCTGTGTCTGATGCTGCCTGCCCTTTCAGCCATGGAAAAACTGTGATAAAATCTATACAGCCACCACTTTATCCTCCTTCAGATCCCTCCATAAGAATAAACTCTACAATGAGCCCTACAAATGCCAGCCTAATGATCATATATAGACTACAGCCATTTCCCCCTTCTTTCCTTTTCCTACTCCCTTCCTTCTTAGCTCCAGCCCCAGTTAAAACTCAGTGAAACAATTGCAATCCATGCAACTAATTATGCAAGTTTGATTCTTTACTGTATTCATTTGCATGTCTATTGTATCCTCATCCCGTTCTTTTTGTCCATTTGCTGAGGTTGTGAGAGTGATGTCTCTTCTCGTTATTTGTATAATGCCTGTCAAAAGTGGACCCCAATCTTTGGGCATTACCACTAATATTTACTTATAAGAAGTCCTATATATACTGGTATAAATGGCAGCTGTACCGTTTTTGCTTAAAATTCAAATTAACGCCAATGCATGATGATACGGAGGTTTATTGGCCATAGTAAGGAGCACTAAATACAGTTTCAAACTCACTTACCTACAAGTCTTTGCTGTGCTTACAGAAAGGACATTTGTGCTGGCATGAATCGGCCCTGTGAAACCTTAGGCTTGTCTCATCTATCTGGTATGTGCCAACCTCACCGCAGCTGTAATATTAATGAAGATTCTGGGCTGTCTTTGGCATTCACTATTGCACATGAGCTTGGACACAGGTATAGTTGGATCTGAAATGTAGAGTCTAGCCAGGGGCAAATTTAATGTTTTATGTGTTTATCTTAACATGGCATTTCCTTCTTAGATTCAAAGGGACCATCGTAGTAATCTGGAATAGCAGGGGCCATAGCATTTTTATTCTTTTTTCCCCTTTGGGGAAAATGAAAAATTGATGCAAAATTGGCAAATCAAAATTAGTCTGTGGAAAATTTCAATTTTGCAGAAAATTGCATTTTTTGTAAAAAATCCTTCAGATGGAAGCTTCATGACCAGCTCTAGCTTTCTAGCCTGACAGTCATAATCCTTAATTAGTGCCCTATGAAATTATTTTAGGCAGAGATTTACAACTGTACCTGCATTGTCTCAGCCTTCATTTTTGCATACACCCACAGAAAAAATTTGTAAGAAAAAAAGTTCCAAGATTGTGGAAGAGGAAAAGAGCCACCCAAGCTCTGGAGTCATTTAAATGTGATGTCTTCAAAAAATAAACATGTCTAAAGTTATTGGGGGTTTTAATTCCTTGGACAGTTGCCATGTCTGGGGCTGTACTGAGCTACAGTGACAGTTTGCTCACGTTGCTCTTCCAGTGGGGTGCTTGTTTATTATTGTTAAAAGTTATTGAGTAGTAAATCTCTTACAAGGATTGACAAAAGCTTTGCTGAGGTTAGACAAGACTGAGTTATGAACAGTTGTGGGAGGACCTGCTTTGGGGATGGTCTGTTACAATGCACCTCTGTTTAAATCAATTTAGAGTGACATCCTTGAAGTTATTTGAGAAAGAAGGAAGGAAAGAAAGAGTTTTGTAACCAGAGAAATTATTACAAGAAAAATTCATGGGTCAAATTCTGATGTGAGTCAGATATAACTATTCTGAAGTGAATGGGGTTATTTTCATTTGCAACACAATCATTGAGCAAAATGTTGCCTGTAATTTTTGTGAGATTTGTTTTCAGTATTGTTCCAGACTCCCTACTTGCAGTCTTGTCTTTGAAAAGTCTCTCACAGCAAACCCCAGACCTGTAGCCAAGCTGCTCAGTGCTGTGAGCTCATCCAATTTAATAGATTATGCTGGGTTTTGGCCTTAAGAACAAAGTGCTGCAGGAAGTGTTAGACATGTTCTCCAGGCACCATCCTTCTCTCCAAATCATTACCAAATTAACTTCATTGTGGGGGTGAGGGGCCGACTTCTGGGCCTCTGAGCAAGGTGAGGTCCAACTCTGCTCTTGCAGAAGGGGTGGGGCTGTGGGCAGAATGGGAGGGGCTGGAGACAGCCAGCCTCAGTGCTTTACAGAATATTCCACGCCTCCCCAAACAGCCCTAAGAGCTTCCCAGAACCCTGGGGCAATTGCCCTCTGTGCCCCCCGTCAGCAAACCTGACTGCAGGGTACTAATGGACACTGCCAAGTGGATGAAGGAAAAAGCACGAGACCTACGGTTATTAAAAATCCCCTGGAACTGTTAGCTAGAGTCAGGATATAAACAGTGGTTAATTTTTGCCAGGGCTGAGCCCCAGTATCTCTAGACTTGGCAGTGCATTGTCTGCCTCTGGGCTTGCTGTATCCATTATAAAAGTTTTTTAAAAATTGCTTGGGCCCCGGCACCTGATTGCTTGATTCTTGCCATCTCTTTCATTACAAATTAAGCATGGTATAAACTATGGGGCCCGGCACAAGTCAAATCAGATGATTATGTTTTGGCTTCCTAACATTCTCCCACAATTTCAACTCAGGAAGTTTTATTCTTTGCTTTCTGCATGGAACATTGCTGTGCATTGTGTGCCTGATCTAAAGCCCACTGAAGTTAACAGGAGTGTTGACTTCTGTTGGCTTTGTCTACTTTTATTCCATGGATGAAGTGATACCTGTATATTTTCCTAAGCATTTTGGAAGAAAGTTGCTATGTAAATTTCAGCTATAATAACTATTTCATATGCTTGGTAATATGTCTTATAGTTTTGGTATCCAGCATGATGGAAAAGAGAATGACTGTGAGCCTGTCGGAAGACATCCATACATTATGTCCCGTCAGCTGCAGTATGATCCTTCTCCACTAACTTGGTCACCCTGCAGCAAGGAATACATCACACGTTTCCTCGAGTGAGTGATTAGAATATTATGTCTACCTCGAATAACGGAATGCTGTGTAAGGTAACAAAGAGTTCAGGAAGAATTCTTAATTATTTTTATCCTTTTGAGGTATGTTGATGGATCCCATGTCATGCCACACCCTAATCTAACCAAATAGTGGTCAATTGATAGTGGAAGAATTGTTACATTGTGCAATGTATGGATTGGATGTAGATTTCAACAACCTGAGTTAAAAATGTGTGTAACCGGAAGATATCATACAGTTATTGGGAGAAAAGATCGTCTTACAGATAAGATATATGGTGATGAGATCTTGGAGAAATCACTTATGCTCACATTTTCAAAAGTGACCTCTTATTAGAGGAGCCTCACATTTTGAGTACCCAACTATTGACAACTCTGATGTGACTTTTGAATGTGGCTGCAGCTCTCCCTGAAGTCATCCAATGATTGAAGCGATTTCCAATTTGACAGACTACATTCTGCCTCCATAACATTCCTCTGCAAGGTGAACTGGGGAGAGCTATGGCAGAGCCCTTCACCATAATTCAGAGAAGGAAAGAGCTGCGGAGAAGGTCACACAAGAGCAACAATATCCCACCAACGAGAACCACACCAGTTCTGCTGCCTTTGCAGACTTCAGTGTCCCTTCTATATGCTATGGGTGGGTGAAGATACCAAGTATTAATACCCAGGTTGCTCCTCAATGGCAGGTCCTCCCAGGTTTTTTTAAGTTCTTTGCTTTTATCTGAGGTTCCTAAAACATTACTGAAAATAAGAATTATTTGCAAAATTCCCCAGGTCCATCTTGAAATCTAGAAGTCTTGTTTCTGAAAAAACTTATGGGAAAATGCCATTCATGATTAGAAATGTAAAGTTGAATTATTTTTTAAAATTTATAATTACAATTACAAGCACATGATTGTTTGGTTTCATTTAATTTCCAATTTGATCTTTAGTCGAGGATGGGGATTCTGTCTAGATGATATCCCAAAAAAGAAAGATTTAAAGTCAACACTCATTGCCCCAGGAGTAATCTATGATGTACATCACCAATGCCAGCTGCAGTACGGCCCCACAGCTACTTTCTGTGAAGAGATGGATGTGAGTTCTTTTTGTTTTCATCTATTCTACTAACAAGAATTCAAGTTTTTACTTCTTAGTGTGACCTAACTAAATTGTAGTTTGGGGACATTCTATTCTGCCTACCTAAAGTTCTTCTCCAGTTTCAAATGAATATGGCTGTCCCATTTTGTTTTGTAGTTTTCTTGGAATATTATTGAATGGTTACTATGTTCTGTGCAGATGTGACTGCATTTCAATGGTAAAGTGGTGTAATTGGTAAATATACATTATAACTCTTGGGTAAGCGTATAAACAGAATCTTTATGACTTAGAAATCTATGTCCCATTTTCAAAAGCAGCTTAAGCATTTTGGCATATCTGTCCCATTGGCTAGCAATCATTTGGTCAAATTCATTAATTGGCTATACTTGCTCAACTTCTGTGAGAATCATTTGAACAAATCTCAGAGCAGTATTTGGCTTTGTATTCCTTACTTTTGCCCATTTTTGTTATGGACTAAATTGTTTAGGAAAGAGGTGCAATAGGTATGCTTATAAAAACTTTCATTTGCATACGCATCAGGAAGTCACTTGTGTGGACAATTGAAGGCAATAGGTGATTTACCAAGTAAGGCATCCAGTATCACTCCTTAACCTAAAAACAGTGGTTTGCAAAAATCATCTTGATTCCTTTTTTTATTATGATCACTACATTTATCCTCATCTACTCACTATTATTTAATATTGGCAGTATTATACATTGCTGATTAATCTTCTCAGTCATAATGAGCAGTATGGGTTACAGTGCTGAATTGCAGCAATTGAAACTGAATCATGTATTGAAATAATGTGTTCATTACATGTTTCACAGCTGTTCTTTACTGCTATAATTTCTTTTTGTACAGATCGGAAATTAAAGTATTTTACATTGTCAGTTGTGTCTCTGCTTAAAGTGAACAAACAGGCCTTTGCATTTGGTATCTCTTGACTAGTTGATTTATAAATAAATATATGTCAGTAAATTAATTTGTAATGTTTTTACTGCAAGGCCTCTATTTTTCAGGTAACAAAAGAGCAAAGAATTGCATATTCTGCTCAATCCTACAGTGAAATCAGCAAAAAGTGGGTATTTTACATTGATTATCTTGAAATGGTTTTGTGTCCTGGGGATGCAAGCCTATATGAAAGGATAATTTACCATCATGTTGTCACAGATTGAAGAGTCAAGGGCATGTAAAATTAACTCTAGTTGACTTGCAAGGCACGTGTGACTGCATGCCACAATGATCCATGCTGTGATGTGCAACCACTTTGTGGCAATGAAAGGCTTGTGGCAATGAAAGGCTCTGGCAGAGGGGAAGCTGTTGGGAAAGGTTTCAGCAATTCTCTGCTGCTGGATCCTTTCCCCGCTGCTGGAAACTTTCCCTGTGGCAGGGAGGCAGTAGAATACTACCGTGCTAAAAATAACAATGTAGTCAGGAAGCAGAGCTTAGGCTGAAAGAGAGTCCTCTTGGGTAGGTACTCAGGTGCATATCCACACCCCTCAGGCATGTCTTTACTCACGTAGGTGAGAAGGTGGGGCCTCAGCAGAAAGGGGAAGTTAGGGAGATGTGGCCGTGGTTTGGGCATCTATGCCCCCCACTTTCAGGGAGCTTTTGCCACTCCTGCTTTAATGCCAGCTTTCTGACCAACTTGCACTCAGTGTGTAGCTTACCCTACTGTTTACAGGTCTAGCGAATTCCCATGTGTCTGCTTACACTTAGCTGCATTTGCCTGAATTTGGCTAAGGATTTTCTTTCTATATTGACATGAACACTTTGAGCAGGGTTTATAACCAGCACCAAGTGAAGCGGGTAGACAGTATCCCCACTATACTGAGGAAGAAAATGAAACATTAATGGGCTGCCTTTTTTTCCAACAAGCAGAGCACCCCACCACTCCCTTTGAAACAATGAGAGCGACAGGCAATCTGCACCTCGGAAAAACTGGTAGTTAATGTCTTGTCACTGAATCTTTATCTCCAAAATGCCCATCGATTGTAATGAGATTGGAATTTGGTGCTTAACCTAGAATCATAGAATCATAGAATCATAGGACTGGAAGGGACCTCGAGAGGTCATCGAGTCCAGCCCCCCGCCCTCAAGGCAGGACCAAGCTCCACCTACACCATCCCTGACAGATGTCTATCTAACCTGTTCTTAAATATCTCCAGAGAGGGAGATTCCACCACCTCCCTTGGCAATTTATTCCAATATTTGACCACCCTGACAGTTAGGAATGTTTTCCTAATGTCCAATCTAAACCTCCCCTGCTGCACTTTAAGCCCATTACTCCATGTCCTGTCCTCAGAAACCAAGAGGAACAAATTTTCGCCTTCCTCCTTGTGACACCCTTTTAGATATTTGAAAACCACTATCATGTCCCCCCTTAATCTTCTTTTTTCCAAACTAAACAAGCCCAGTTCATGAAGCCTGGCTTCATAGGCTTCTCTAGACCTTTAATCATTCTTGTCGCTCTTCTCTGTACCCTTTCCAATTTCTCCACATCTTTCTTGAAATGTGGCGCCCAGAACTGGACACAGTACTCCAGCTGAGGCCTAACTAGCGCAGAGTAGAGCGGCAGAATGACTTCACGAGTTTTGCTTACAACACACCTGTTAATACAACCTAGAATCATATTTGCTTTTTTTGCAACAGCATCACACTGTTGACTCATATTCAACTTGTGGTCCACTATGACCCCTAGATCCCTTTCCGCCATGCTCCTTCCTAGACAGTCGCTTCCCATCTTGTATGTATGGAACTGATTGTTCCTTCCTAAGTGGAGCACTCTGCATTTCTCCTTATTAAACCTCATCCTGTTTACCTCTGACCATTTCTCTAACTTGCTAAGGTCATTCTGAATTATGTCCCTATCCTCCAAAGAAGTTGCAACCCCACCCAGTTTGGTATCATCTGCAAACTTAATAAGAGTACTCTCTATCCCAATATCTACATCATTGATGAAGATATTGAACAGTACGGGTCCCAAAACAGACCCTTGAGGAACTCCACTTGTTATCCCTTTCCAGCAGGATTTAGAACCGTTAACAACAACTCTCTGACTACGGTTATCCAGCCAATTATGCACCCACCTTATCGTGGCCCTATCTAAGTTATATTTGCCTAGTTTATCAATAAGAATATCATGCGAGACCGTATCAAATGCCTTACTAAAGTCTAGGTATATGACATCCACCGCTTCTCCCTTATCCACAAGGCTCGTTATCCTATCAAAGAAAGCTATCAGATTAGTTTGGCATGACTTGTTCTTCACAAACCCATGCTGGCTATTCCCTATCACTTTATTACCTTCCAAGTGTTTGCATATGATTTCCTTAATTACCTGCTCCATTATCTTCCCTGGGACAGACGTTAAACTGACCGGTCTATAATTTCCTGGGTTGTTCTTATTCCCCTTTTTATAGATGGGCACAATATTTGCCCTTTTCCAGTCTTCTGGAATCTCCCCTGTCTGCCATGATTTTTCAAAGATCATAGCTAAAGGCTCAGATACCTCCTCTATCAGCTCCTTGAGTATCCTGGGATGCATTTCATCAGGACCTGGTGACTTGCTGACATCTAACTTTCCTAAGTGATTTTTAACTTGTTCTTTGTGTATCCTATCTTCTAAACTTACCCTCTCTCTGCTTGTATTCACTACGTTAGGCACACCTCCAGACTTCTCGGTGAAGACCGAAACAAAGAAGTCATTGAGCATCTCCGCCATTTCCAAGTTCCCTGTTACTGCTTCTCCCTCCTCACTAAGCAGTGGGCCTACCCTGTCCTTGGTCTTCCTCTTGCTTTTAATGTATTTATAAAAGGTCTTCTTGTTTCCCTTTATGCCTGTAGCTAGTTTGATCTCATTTTGTGCCTTTGCCTTTCTAATCTTGCCCCTGCATTCCCGTGTTGCTTGCCTATATTCATCCTTTGTTAGTTGTCCTAGTTTCCATTTTTTATATGACTCCTTTTTTATTTTGAGATCATGCAAGATCTCCTTGTTAAGCCAAGCTGGTCTTTTGCCATATTTTCTATCTTTCCTACACAGCGGAATTGTTTGCTTTTGGGCCCTTAACAACGTCCCTTTGAAATACTTCCAACTCTCCTCAGTTGTTTTTCCCTTCAGTCTTGCTTCCCATGGGACCTTACCTACAAGTTCTCTGAGCTTATCAAAATCTGCCTTCCTGAAATCCATAACCTCAATTGTGCTGGTCTCCCTTCTACCTTTCCTTAAGATCATGAACTCTATTATTTCATGATCACTGTCCCCTATACTGTCTTCCACTTTCAAGTTCTCAACTAGTTCCTCCCTATTTGTTAAAACCAAATCCAGAACAGCTTCTCCTCTGGTAGCTTTTTCAACCTTCTGAAACAGAAAGTTGTCTCCAATGCAGTCCAGAAACTTATTGGATAGCCTGTGCCTCGCTGTGTTAGTTTCCCAACATATGTCTGGATAGTTGAAGTCCCCCATCACCACCAAATCTTGGGCTTTGGATAGTTTTGTTAATTGTTTAAAAAAGGCCTCATCCACCTCTTCCACCTGGCTAGGTGGCCTGTAGTAGACTCCTAGCATGATATCACCCTCGTTTTTTACCCCTTTTAGCTTAACCCAGAGACTCTCTACACAGCTATCTCCTATGTTCATCTCCAACCTCTGAAATTAGAAGTCATTTAGGTTGCTAGCGGATACATAATCCACTATATATTTGGGAACGTTTATCTGTTTGTGCTGTATCTTCTATGGTATGTGTGGTATGCCTAGCATTGTTAATGACGGGGAAAATTCATATGCATGATGACTTATTTGGAAAGCTTCTATGAAAGCTAATGAGTTTCCTTCCTAAATCCCTAAGGGTATGTCTACACTACCCCGCTAGTTCGAACTAGCGGGGTAATGTATGCATACCGAACTTGCTAATGGAGCCCGGGATTTGAATTTCCCGGGCTTCATTAGCATAAAGCTGGCTCCGCCATTTTTAAAAGCCGGCTAGTGCGAACCCTGTGCCGCGTGTAGCCGCGCGGCACGGGGTTCGCACTAGCCGGCTTTTAAAAATGGCAGAGCCAGCTTTATGCTAATGAAGCCCGGGAAATTCAAATCCCGGGCTTCATTAGCAAGTTCGGTATGCATACATTACCCCGCTAGTTCGAACTAGCGGGGTAGTGTAGACATACCCTAACTTTTGGAAGAAAATATTTGTCTATAAAATCTATGGATTTTTTCCCAATGTGAAAATGAAACTGCCAGCAGCAGGATGTACTCATTTTAAAGCCCATTTCTAATAATCCAGCAAGCTATTCTAGTGGATGAAAGATAAAAAGTACACTTTTGATTGTATTTCTTCTTGAGTATATAGTAGCAGAGTACCTTTCACACAGAGAACAAAACATATTCCATGAAAAACAAAAATTCCATGCACCCTGGTAGACCAGACATCCAGAACAGATTTTAATTCTGTGACTACATCCCAAAAAATGTAGTGTCCCCAAATGCTCCCTAAAATGGGGTTCCCAGAGTGGCCCCCCCCCCCCTTGGTGCTGCATTCCACAGTTAATACTTCTTAAGAAAAAATATTAATTTTAATGATTACATACTGTGACAAAGTCAAACCTGAGGGCTGCAATAGAGTGGGAAAAGGCAGCTCTAGCTGGGTAAAAAGACAACTCTGCTGTTAATTAGAAGTGGATTACTGCAGGGCAAGCTGGAAGCCCTATCCCAGGTAAGACAACCCCTTGTCAGCTCTATCTTAGAACAATTAGGATCAGCTGATTCCACTTCAGACCTGCCTGAGACCTTTAAAAGCCTCTCCTGTTAGCTGGAAAGGATAGGAGTGACAGGTAGACAGAAACACCAACAGCTACTGAAGGAGGAGACAACCAGTAAGTGAGAAACTGGGCTTCCCTACCCCAGGAAAAGATTACCAGCCCAAGCCCTGCTAAGAGGAAGGCTGACTGCCCAGATGACACTGCAGATGGGAGAAGAGGTGTTTTACCAAAACACTTCCTACCAGAGAAAGGGAGGTGGAAATATGTCTTTAAAACATATAGGCTACATCTAGACTGGCAAAGTTTTCCGTTAAAAGCATTTGCGGAAAAGAGCATCTAGATTGGCACAGACGCTTTTCCGCAAAAGCACTTTTTGCGGAAAAGCGTCCATGCCAATTTAGACACGCTTTTCCGCAAAAAAGCCCTGATCGCCATTTTCGTAATCGGGGTGGTTTTGTACAAAACAAATCTGAGCCATCTACACTGGCCCTTTTGCGCAAAAGCTTTGCGCAAAAGGACTTTTGCCCGAATGGGAGCAGCATAGTATTTCCACAAGAAGCACTGATTTCAGACAGTAGGAAGTCAGTGTTCTTGCGGAAATTCAAGCAGCAAGTGTGGACAGCTGGCAAGTTTTTCCACAAAAGCACAATGGAAAAGGAAAAGTGGAGAGCACAATGTGGTGTTCAAACATGGAGAGCATACGGTATAAATGTATAAAGGTGAGCAATAAGTGATATAATGTTAACAAAATTTTTACCAACAGGCTACGTCTACATTGGCATGATTTTGCACACGAACACTTTCGCGGAAGAGTTCTTGTGCAAAAACTCTTCCAGAAGAGAGCATCTACACTGGCATGTGCTTTTGCGCAAGAGTATCCGTGCCAGTGTAGACGCTCTCTTGCGCAAGAAAGCTCTAATGGCCATTTTAACCATAGGGGTTTCTTGCACAAGAAATTCATGTTGCCTGTCTACACTGGCCTCTTTCACAAGAACAATTGCGCAAGAGAGCTTATTCCTGAGTGGGAGCATCATAGTTCTTGTGCCAGAAGCACTGATTTCATACATTAGAACATCAGTGTTCTTGCACAAGAACTCGCAGCCAGTGTAGACAGGCAGCAAGTGTTGGTGCAAAAGCGACTGCTTTTGCTCAAGATCACACCAATGTAGGCACAGCCTTCCAATGCCAAAATAGTAACTGAGCTTTTCTGAAAATCTGTGACCAACAGTGTGTGCTGAACTGTTTTGATAATTTGGCCTCACTTCTATAAAAGGTTGAACCAAAACCCTAGATATGAAATTTACTTGTAATATGTATGCTGGGAGGGCTTAAATTCCTGAACTACATCCAGATTTTGCCCCTTAAAGCTCATTTTTAATTTTAATAACACATGTGTTTGTGTACAGTTGCTATTTATATATAATGACCATTTATTTATACAGACACACGCGCGCACACACAATTGCTCAGTAGGAAAAAAACCCATATACTATAATAAAACTAAAAAGGGATGAAAATTAAGGTGCATCGGACTAAATATGAATTACAGATATTAGACAACAATAAGAAATGTCTAATGACAGCTCAGTCCAGAAAGGAGAAATACCAGCCAAACCTGAGGTCCTAACTTACTTTTCAACAGTCTTTTTGCAAGTGAGTGCCCACTGAAATGTCTGGGTGCTTGCTAGGATTGCCAGCTTTCTAATCACACAAAACTGAACACTCCAGTCATGCCTTTTCCCCGAGGCCCTGCTCCTGTACCAGCCCTTCCCTTAAGCCCTGAGCACACTCATTACATTCCCCCTGCCTCAGTGGCTCACTCTCTCCTACCCTCATTCACTTTCATTGGGATGGGAGAGGAGGCTGAGGTGCAGGAGGGGGTGAGGGCTTCAACAGGGGTGTAGGCTGTGGGCTTGGGGAGGCAGGGTTGGGGCATGGGCTTACCTCTGACACAGCTCCCGACCAATGGCTCCTTGAGGCTAAGATAGATTCCCTGCCTATCCTGGTGCCATGCTGCACTTGGAAGTAGCCAGTCGGTCCATCATCTAGACTATGGGGGTGGGAGGAGGCTCCATGTGCTGCCTCTGCCCCCAGCTACTGTTCCCCCTCCCCAAGCTCCCATTAGTTGAGGACTGGTCCACGGGACAGAGGCAGAGTGCGGAGTTCTGTGGTCCTCCCAGCTATTAGCCAGACCTGTTAGCTGCTTGTGAGGTGCAGTGTTGTGCCAGGAGAGGTGGGGACTAGTCTTACTTGGCTCTGCAGCACAGTTGACCAGATTTTTAATGGTCTAGTCAGCAGTGGGTCTCATCATACATTTTCTCCTCTTGAGGCTGCTTGTGCATCTGCAATATGCTCAATATGCTCAAACTTTTTTCAAATGAACATTCAGTTGTTAGGGGGCACGCCGGTTGAGAGAGCAGGAAGAACTTTCAAACTCTCAAGAGAACTCTAATTCAGTCAGCTGGACACAATAGCTACGTCTACATTGGCAAAATTTTGCACAACTATTTTTAACGCCAGAGTTTTTGCGTTAAAATATTTGCACAAGAGAGCGTCTACACTGGCATGTGCTTTTGTGCAAGAGAGGTGCTTTTGCGCAAAAGCATCCATGGCAGTGTAGACGCTCTCTTGCGCAAGAAAGCTCCGATGGCCATTTTAGCCATCGGGCTTTCTTGCGCAAGAAATTCATGTTGCCTGTCTACACTGGCCTCTTGCGCAAGAACACTTGCACGAGAGGGCTTATTCTTGAGTGGGAGCGTCATAGTTCTTGCGCAAGAAGCACTGATTTCTTACATTAGAACGTCAGTGTTCTTGCGCAAGAACTCGCGGCCAGTGTAGACAGGTGGCAAGTTTTTGCTCAAAAGCACCTTGCCAGTGTAGACACAGCCAGTATGGTCACAATTTTGTATTTGTACACAGATCTATGACAGGACAATAATGATGAGTAAAAGTTCTGTGGCTAAAATTTTAAACAGAGACTAGAGATTTGGTGTATCTGATCTTGCAATAACTTTCAAGAAGCCTAGTTTTCAAAAAGTTCTAAGTAACCTGACTGCTTGAAGTCAAGCCCTTTAAAGGTATCACAAATTAAAATACCCACAAATCCTTGATGACTTTTGAAAATTGCAGCTTGGGAGTTTCAACTCTTCTGGAGACAACTCCAATTCGCTCTCCTTCTTACAGAATATTTGCCAGACGCTCTGGTGCTCAGTGAAAGGTTCCTGCCGCTCAAAACTGGAGGCTGCTGCAGATGGAACTAGATGTGGAGAAAACAAGGTGATTTACAGGCTTCTTTTATATTAACATGAAGATAAGAAAACATGATGGCTTCGTCTAGACTGGCAAGTTTTTCCGCAAAAGCAGGTGCTTTTGTGGAAAAACTTGCCAGCTGTCTACACTGGCCACTTGAATTTCCACAAGAACACTGACTTCCTACTGTCTGAAATCAATGCTTCTTGCAGAAATGCTATGCTGCTCCCGTTCGGGCAAAAGTCCTTTTGCGCAAAGCTTTTGCGCAAAAGGGCCAGTGTAGACAGCTCAGATTTGTTTTGCGCAAAAAAGCCCCAATCGCGAAAATGGCAATCGGGGCTTTTTTGCGGAAAAGTGCGTCTAGATTGGCACGGATGCTTTTCCACAAAAAGTGCTTTTGCGGAAAAGTGTCCTTGCTAATCTAGATGCTCTTTTCCACAAATGCTTTTAATGGAAAACTTTTCCGTTAAAAGTATTTGCGGAAAATCATGCCAGTCTAGACGTAGCCAATGAGTTTTGTCATTGTCATAGATTAAACTAAGTGGCATACTGAGAGATGTCTCATATCTTTGTGTTGCTGAGTTTTTCCAGCATTTCATGTTTTCTATTGCTTAATGGAGTTCACTCGTAGTAACATTTTTCTCTGATTTTAATCTTAAACCCTGACCTTTCTCCGCTTGCTTTTATTATCATTACCTTACTGTTTTTCTTCCAACTGAGGGGACTATGCTTTCTTTTTGATCAAAGTTTATTGCTAGCCAGCAGGAGCTCAACGTCCTAGTTCATAGGGGCTGTAAGATCTGACCTCAATACTTTTTAATGCGATTCATGGCCTCTGCTTGCTAAGGGAGTCAGAAACCTCTGAGGTGTTCTGAATTTGTCTTGTTGCTGGAATCCAAAGCACCACCCTCCATCTCCATGACCCAGGTGTTGTCACTATTGCACTAGCTGTCTTGTACAGGAAGATGTGAAATGCATAGTTATTAAATTATTTGGAGGTTCAATTCTAAAACATGACAAGCACTTTAGTGGGAGTAAGGAGTGCTCAGGTCCTCTCAGGAATATGTCTTTAATCAGGATTTCATGAGATGAATCTAATTCCTCTCCGTCTTGTTAATTGAACAACTCTTGGTGCTGTGATTCTGTGGTAAAGAGGGCCATTCCCCTGGCTGCCCCCCTCAAATTGCCTATGAGGAGTTGTCAACATCATTATTCCCAAATAGTTCATCCACTTCACATTTGCACCCTATCTTATTATGGAATAACTTCCACAGACCATGAAAGATGTTCAGGTTTGCCCCATCTGTTGTTGTTGCTCAGACAAGTCAATAGTTCCAATGAAGAAGGACCCATCCAACCTCCCAGTCTGGAGGAAAGCCTTTATAGAAAGGTTCAATACTGGGACTCATAGAATGAATTTGCAGTTTAAATAAGAGGACTAAAAGGAAATGAAAGTAATGGAAAGTTTCAGAGCAGAATATCAGGAAAGTTTTCCTGACCAGTGCGGGGATAATCAGCTATTTATCTGGGGATACTTTCCCAGAAGGAGCAGTAAACAGTGTGGTTGAATATTAACATTTCAGAGTTCCTGTAAATACCCTGTAGGGCAAAATCCTCCATTGGCAAGGAAAAGAAATCACCTGGTGCTGAATGGTGATTTGCCATGGCAAAATTCACTCTAGAATGCCTCTGAGCCAGAGCAGCATAACAGCGTGAATCAGTGTGGGGCTAATGATTACTGAACTACTAATGGATTGGAGCAGGTGACCACAGGAGAGAGGGTTTTCTTCAAGAGTGGGGATTTGGAAAGGAAGGAAGGAAAGGTTGGGGGAATATAGATTCATATGATATTCTCAATGGAATGCTAGGTATCTATCTAAATGGATGGGAAACACTGTTGCGGAGAGTATAGTAGATATAAACATAGCCTAGAGCTATTGAGATGGGAATGGTCTCTCTAAGGTGGACAGCACAGGAAAGCGTTTAGATCCTTAGAACCTAGAATTCAATGGCTTATTTAAATCAAAGTATAGTATACACAGGGAATGGATACCAAGACTATCAGAATAAATACTGATTCTGAACTAGCTAGACATCTTCATAGACAGAGAAGGGGATTGAAAGACACAACAGCAGTACTTTCTATTGCTGAATCATTGAAAGCAATTACAGAAGTTGTATATTTGCTATAATTTAATTGAAAAAAATTATGTTTGTGGAAGAGGACTGTTGGCTCCTCATTAAAACTCAGTGGGGTTGGTTTGGTTTGGTTTGGTTTGGTTTGGTTTGGTTTGGTTTGGTTTGGTTTGGTTAGCTTGCTCCCAGTACTGAAAAGGTGAATGGGAAATCAGAACTCGGGGAAAAATGGGAAGAGGCCATTGAGGTGAGCCTGACTGACAGAGCTGGTGGGCTAATGAGGGAGTCAAGAGGCCGGGGGGGAGGGGTTCCTAGCCTCCATGTGAGCTGTAATTGCCTGGGTCAGACACAGAGTGGGGCTGAGCTAAGGAGCGAGCAGGGTCCAGGCTGAGCTAGGGAGCAGAGACATGCCAGACAGAGAGAACCATAGGAATAGCTGAGAGAGCAGATCCTGTCTTGAAAGCAGGGCTGCAGTAACAAGCACCCGAGACACATCCCCAGAGAGCAGAGCTGCAGCCACAGAACCAGAGGGGCCAGGGAAGCAGCCAAGGGAGCTGGAGGCAGAGTAGCAGAGAGTGGAGCTGGAGCTGTGTCGGACGATGGTCAGGGCAGGGTGTATTCCTATACCTGTCCCTTATGACCGGCTGAAGTTCTTTTAAATTGTGCTTGGTTCTGTTACAGCAACTGAAGGAGTCAGGTTAAAACTTAACCAGTTAGCCTATGTCTACACTACCCCGCTAGTTCGAACTAGCGGGGTAATGTAGGCATACCGCAATTGCAAATGAAGCCCGGGATTTGAATTTCCCGGGCTTCATTTGCATAAGCAGGGAGCCGCCATTTTTAAAT